ATGGAATATGGGATATGTGGGGATCTTATTCTAATATACCCCAAAGCCATATTCTATCTACTTAAGGGGGATCATATGGTTTAGGGTTTTTCAAAACTTTCAGAACCGACCCTGAGAATAGTTATGCAACCTCTATGCATCCTCCTGCTCGCGTTAAAGCTTGAAGGGCCCCGAACTCATATACATGCGCAACACGTAAGCAAAGCAATGGAGAGTTTAGTTTGGTTTTACCGCCGAACCCGAAAAAAGGAATAATCCAGTCACCGATCTCTCATGACAATTGAAAGCCCCAGGAGCAAGGCATGCCCCTACATGAACCATGAACTTCCTGGAGGCCCACAATCTAGATCCATCTTCTCAAAAGATCGCGATACCCCAACCTAAGATGACACTGGAAACAGTGTTCAGGAATTGATACCTGAGTTCAAAAGTGTTGGCAAGGTTTGGGCACATCAGTTTAGGGTTGGAGGCTGGAAGTTCTCAATGGTGGTTGCGTTCTGATTTACGCTTGAACTGGGTTTTGGGTGGCTAGAGGGCTCATTTAAGGTTCAGCGGATTGGGACAACCACTCTTTACGCAGGCCCCTTCTTGCCTCATTCACAGCCCCGCCTGAGTGTTCAATGATAGTACCCTGAACCCTGAACCCTCAGCCCTAGACAGTCCGACAAATTTGCAGAAAACGTCTCAAGCAATCCTTCAGAATCCTGTAGCTAGCCGTTTTTTGTCCATCAAGATTTCCTCCTTTTTTTTCAGAAGCATGAAGCTCCATCCCCTTAAACCCTGCAAGTGTATAATTCTACGAAAGGGGCACCCCTATGTTGACAAGCGCCCTTAACGAGGAGTTGGAAGCTCAGCGGGGTCTTGGACTCAGGACCCAAGAGGGCAGATGGCTTTCGGTAATCTGCTTTGGCTTCCCCCTTTTCAAATATTGAGTGCAAGACCGGATACCGCAACGTACGCGGTGACGAGGTCAGCCTAGAGATTGCAGTTGAACCTGTATGCGTGTCTTCACGCGGTTGGTGCGAGCAATCGTTGACACAAGGGCTTGAAGATACGTGACCCAGAGACCAGATGAACCTCTTATTACTCTCATTAGGGCTTAGGGTTATGGGTCCAACCATTCACATAGTAGATAATTTGGGCCCAAGTTGGTTCCCGTAAAAGGTATTTTGGGCCCTAATTACATTCTATTCAGGTACTTGGACCCTTAGGGCTATAACATTGATTGTAGTTTCCGTTTTCTTTGCAAGTATTCCCAAATCCATCCCTATGTAAGCCTTCTATAGCCCAGATCCATGCACAAAAACATATGTATATGTATATGTATATGTGCAAATATCTATGTACTTGTGTTTTGACATGTGTGTGTGTGTGTTTGCCGCTTGCCAGGTGATGCCTCTTATGCTCCACTAACCTGTTTGCTTGTGGCAGCGTGAAACTTCCAAAGCAAACGTAAGAATTGCTTCATGTCTTGAATGGCGAAAACATGTGAGGGACGTTCTGAAGTCAACATGCGGGAGGGGTTGCACGGTGAGAGGATCCGCGCAAGAAAGGCATTTGCAGCAGGAATGTCTGGCCGACATGTATGTCTTTGTATGTGGTAACGATAATATGGATAGCACACGTCACAATCCACCCACTATGAGCTGAGATGCGGACACGACTCGTGGACTAACTTTTGGGGCGGGAGCCTTTAACATGCTGAAGTCTCAAACCTATGATGCTGGCCTGCGGTCTCTAAGGTAGTTCTCTCGCATGTTCCTCAGATCCTTGTGCGGGTACGATTTTAGATGAGTAGTGTTTTTTTGGTGGTTGAACCTAGTAAGATTATAATCCTTGTATAAAATACTATACCCAAAAGGAGGATATAATCCTACTCTATATTGGGTACCATAGTACCCCTAAACTAAAGACTACTCAGATGGGCATGGCTGGAAGGGTTGAGCTGGGAGGTTCTTGGATATTTTCCCCATGAATTCGGGATGGTGACTCACTCGTGGTCCTTGGAGAGTGCATTGCCATGGCCTTTATCACATGATGAGATCCCAAACCATCCGCGCCTTGCTTCCCCTTTCCAATATGGACCCAAAATGCGGCCCAACAATGGGTTGAGGGTTTAGGAATTAGGGTTTCTGTCGGGGAGTTGAGTAAGGGAGGAATAGGATAGGATCCCATGATTGCAGTAAGGCGGCGCCAAGCCATCTTGACATCTGGAGTTCATCAGGGTTCACCTTCTACTCCCCCGATACTTCTCCCCACCCAAGATTCCCCCTGAATTACGATTGTTTGAGGACGTTTAGGGCCATAGGAAGGGTAACATGGGAGCCCAGGACATCAGGTCCTCAGCGTTTTCCAGAAGACTAGGGATTAGCGGGGAATAAGGGAATGTATAGGGTTCAGGTTTCAGGGTCTATAGGGGTTATATAGGGATTAGACTCCCTTGTTCGTATTATGAACCAGCAAGTTGAAGTTCTCCTATAGCCCAAACTCCTATGCCGGTCCCAGTATGTAGAAAAAAGTGCATAGTCAGTTCTTTTGGTGGGTTTATGGGCCATGTTTTATCCTAAGACCTAAGCCCTAGATGGTGTTTTGACTTCAGGCCCAGGATGAACCATGTGAGGATCGCTCCGCTGCCTTTGTGGCTGCAGTAGGTCACCTCGCAGCCCTGAGCGAGTGCGGTAGAAACCTGTCTTTGCAAAGGGCCATGTCATCCGCAATGAAACCCCTTTTTGCGGTGACGCTTCCATGGCTGCTTGGATGCAAGTTTACGAATGAATTGCCCTCGCGTAGGATTAAAAGTTGGGTGCTGCCCCCTCCTGTAACTACTGGATAATACTTACACTACATATATATATATAACCAAGCATATATATATATGTATATATAAATATATGTAAGAGAAACTTTTGCGTATCATTTGACCCTAGGTTTTGGCTCCTTAGTATTCACCTCTATTCCTTATTGTGTGCCATTGCCTCTCACTCTTTGGGTTGCTTATCATGATACAACTGCGTAGAATTTTTGGAATTATGAACTTTAGAAATCCTAGAAATGCTAATATTTCTAGAAATTTTAAAAACTTTAGAAACTTTAGAAATTCAATAAATTCTAGAAATTTTAATGTTTCTTGGATGTCTAGAATTTCTAGAAGTTTTAAAAATTTCAGAAATTCTAGACTTTTTAGAACTTCTATTAGAATTTTTAGAATTTTAAAAGCGCAAGCTATCAAGCATTATTGAAATTGATGTTCCTGCTACAGAGACACGCCACGCAGAACTTCATGATTATGCGCACCTGCATCGGTACGCAAAGGCGTCTGCAGATCGGGAAGCCAATGCTCTGCTTCTAGTTGCATCGTGGGACGCCCCGATCAAAGATGATAGACCAAAAGGCAGCGGGAAATCCAAGCAATCCGTTGCGCATAATCTGGAGAAGCTCAAGGCCAAAAGCGACAAGTTGTCGATGACAGAGGAGTATTTGGCAGCTTTCTGCGACCTGCCAGGTACGGAAGCGGCGTCCTCGACAGCTGCACCCAAGAGACGCAAGACGATGAAAGGAAATGCAGCGTCTGGCCACACTCAGCGAGCTTCACTCTGTGATGAGCGAAACTTCCAGAACCTTATTCGCACTCGCGCGTATGTGCAAGGTTATGGGGCGCAGAAGTTCTCTAGAAGAGTTATCACGGTTTTATGTCCGATGACGACAGACTACCATATTCAGAATGTTTTTTTCGTCATATTGGACCAGCTCATACGTCGGTTCGATGTTGCGGCGCATGTTCCGCAACCAGTTTTGGACATTTTGCGTCGCTGCGCAAATGACAGAAGTGGTATTCGCGGATGAGCTGAAAGTGTCCACACGGCAGGGAAAGGTCATCGTGCACGAGATGCTCTTCGGTGCTAGTGTTCCTCCAGACAGGGCCACTAGTAGCTTCCTGTTGGAGTTCCAGAAGCTTTCCCTATATCTTAGATGCTTCATGCTGGCGCAGGTGATGATGAGTGGACAGATGCTTTCACCCATGACGCCGAGTGTGTGGAGCAGGCCTGGCAGTAAGTTTCAACAAGATACCATTTTTATGTATGCGTAGCGCTATCTACTATATATTAAAGCTTACATTGATGCGTGGGACAGTAGCACTTCATCCGTACTGGCAGACCGCGTATCAAGTTGTGAGGTCTCGGAGAATGAAGGCGGAGCGGATGAGCCTGACGAGGCAGAGGACGGGGCAATCCAGGTGCCCTCTTGCTACGAGCTCTTCAGGATGAGGTAGAGCGAGAGCTTTCCAAAACGATATCCTGTGAACTGTGAACAATGTTGCTTTTGCCCTTTTCGAAAATTTCAGAAGCCTGTTCGAGTCAGACATCACATTGCCAGATATCATGTTCAGGCTAAACAGTTTGTTTGCTCCGGCGCCAAACAACTCAAAGTGGTTGCAGCCTTACTCGATTACGACCAGATGAGAGGTGTTTCCAGCAGTACATACTTGCAGAAGAGCGCAGCCCTCCTGAGAGACAGCATTGGCTGCGCAATCACCTCGCAGCAGAATGATATTGACAGGCGCGTCAGGCTGGTGCTGACGGGCGAAGGACCAGTGTATCGCAGCCTGTCTTCACTCGGAACAACATTCAATGTCAAGCGAGTGCGCAATCTGTATTACGAGCAAAGCTTTGCTGACCTGGTGCTACAGGAGATGGTCTTGTGCAACGCTAAATGCTAAGCAGCAAAGTCGCGGATTTCTGCGACCTTAGCAGGGCGCGGAGTACGACTCCTGTCGCTGCTGCCAACTGCCACGGCTCACTGGTGGCCTCTGATTGAAGATGTGTTTTCCTCGCCCCCAGTGCAGGAGCAGAAACAGGCAATGCATCGATACTTCTCAGACCAGCAGGAATTCGAGTCCATTTCCATTGATGCAACCGTTAAGTGTTGCATGTCGGTTATGGGGCAGGAGTCATACAGATGCAGTTCGGCCAAGAGAAATTCTGCACCTTTTGGCGATGACGCTGCTTACAGACGTGTTCTAACTGTCAGGGGCAGAACCAGCGCAGTTCTGGCTATGTCAGCAATGCAAACAGAGCGTGCAGAGGACGTCCGCGCAGCCCTGGCCGACGCACTTCCTCCAGCAGGGCTACAGCAGGTTCAGTGTGTGGCAGCCGACAACGCGTCCTTGAAGTTACACACCGAACTTGTTCGAATCATGCCCAATCTCCACGCGCTCTGCTTGGACCCCATACATCTCTCTATTGTCTATGAGCGTCTTGGATTTCAAGAGTAGGCAACTTGTGCGCGTGCTGCTTTCTCTAGGTCATTTTCATGTCGCTTGCTTCGCCCGCTCTTTTGAGGTGCGCTACATGGAAGAAGAAGACTCCCGGGGCTCTGTTCTTACGAAAACTTCTTCATAAGTTCTTGCCTGTGGACAAGGAGGCCCGCGTTGCCAGATGCGGAAAACTATATCATGGACATGAAGACAGATGCCTCACAGCTGTAGAAAGTAAGACCAGGGACTACATTGAGTCAGGCCGCATGCTGCGCAGCAAAGCCAAGCGAATTGTGGAACAGCTTGATGGCTCTACTCCTTTTAGAACCCGCCTGGAATACATCGAATCACTAGCAGCGCTGGCCTGTGTTTTTCCCCACGACATGAGCCGCAAAGTGACAGGAGCCAACTCATATTCTCTGGTGTTCCTGCGCACCAGAGCGGCTCGAGTGGCTCTGGAACAACATTCGCTGGCGGCGCATGATCCGTGTAGACCTGAGCTTGATGACAGCGTTGAAATCCTGGTTGCTGTGTTGCTCTAGTTTTACTTGTATAGATAATGACCTAAGGAAGCCCAGACCTATTAATGCTTCCATCCGGAACTAGTTCGAATGAAGCCTTACATGCAGAAATCAAAATCTGGTTTCTGCAAACGCAACAGATTCACCAAAGTACTCTTCAACTCAAGTTGAATATTTTAACTTTTGGCAAGCAGTGGCCGCATTTCGCCGCTCTGCGACGTCCGACGCTAAGTCAAATGTCGAGCCAAAATGTTTTAGCCAGATTGGTAGGCATTTCACTGTGGTCCTCTCAAGCGTTTGAAGACTGGTGCCGCAGTAACACGGAGGGCAGCGTAATCTGCAAAGCAGATTTGCCTCTTCAAGAGAAGCGTGAGTCTGAGAGGTTCAAGACTGCGCAGGACGTAGGGCAAAACATGCCCTTCTATTCACGTGGGCTCAACCGGAGCTCTTGTAAGTATCTACATCCTTGCTCAGTAAACACAAGACTGAAGCATCGTGTTCGGAGAATTCCGCTGCAACGAGTAGATGCTTCATCGCATGGTAGGACACATGCTAAAGCCAACTCATTGCGATGACGCGTTGGCCTTGTTGTCCCGGATGGCGCGAGAGAACAGAGCCCATGATGCCAAGTTGAGTTGATGTTAAGGTTTGGTATGTGTGTGAGATTTGTGCGCTATTCGTGAACAATACATGCCACATACAACGTCATGAAACTGGTCACAGTTTCTCGTTCTTCCAGAATATGATATATCCATATTGTCTGCGTAGGAGTATATGTTCGTATTAGTCATCGATAGCCAATAACTTGTAAAGCTGTGTAGCTCAAGGCTGAAGGCCTCATTTGTGGATGGCATGGTCTCGACTTGTTATGTGGTACATTTGCTTCTTCACTGACATGCCAAGCGCTGTTCCTCATGTTGCGTACGTTACCAGTACTGGTCCCAGAGAGAACAGGTTCCGGTACTGGGCTTCATGTAGGTGGTATTGTTCCCATGGCTGTGGCCAGGCAGGCTTGCCTTGGGCGTAGGGGCATAAGCGCTGCTCACCATCGTAGGTGGAAGCTGATACACAGCTTGATATCAACTTATACATGCATGAAATATCGTGATCTGATAGCTGCGAAGTTTCGTGCGGCATGTTGCTACTTGCAGCAAGCGCAGATATGTTGCCAAAGAAGACAGACAAGAATTAGAAAGAATCGAGTCTTGTGTTGCTTTGACAAATCAATCTGGCAGCCCCGGTTGCTTGGTTGAAATGGTGGGGCGCATCTTCGAAAACATGTGGCGTTATGATCATAGGTTTTGGTAACACAAAGCTTGGTTTTAAAACTTCCGAATACAATTTAAGTGCACACGGCTGTGATGCATGCAAATTGGTTTCCAACACTGCTCAGTGTTGGGTGTAGCATTGGTGTACCATCATGACAGTGAAGTAACATGACCCAAATATGCGGGTCATATCATTTTTAAAGGTTCCTGCCACATAAATATATAGCCTTTAATATGACCTACTTGTAGTATAGACTTTGACAGGGTGGGGGCGGTATTCACAATATATGGGAATTAGGCTTGATTTCCTTATTCGGGTCAGTGGTCCTGGGGCTGTTGGTAGAATGGTCGGAGGGCGTTCTGCTCATGAGGAGCCACTCGCATCGCGTTCCTCGTTTCCTCTTAAAAAGATACCGGGGCCCAAGGGAAGCCAAGGCGAAGGACTGGGTTTAGGGTTCAGGGTTTAGGGTTTAGGCGAAGGAATGGGTGCATGAAGGGGCGCGCTCCAAGCGTCGCCGAAAATCTACGGATCGAAATGGCATGTTTCATTAGTACTCCAAACCCCGAAGCCTTACATACACACAGGGTATGAAAAATGCATTAGGGCCCCTCAGATGCAGAGCATTCGCAGGACGCTTTTGGATTCGGTCAGCTACCCGCCCCCCAACCCAACGTGGAATCGAGCTCCCCAAATGGGCTAAAATTGTAATTCAATCAATTAAAATCGCATTCAGTTCTTGTATACAAAATCTTTCATTAAGACCATGTGAGCGACCGGTTTTATTATCGTGTAGGAGCCAAGAGCAGGCAGAGATAAAATCCAGGGACATGAGCAAAACCCCCGTAAAGCGATAGGGCCCCCCCCAAAAGCNNTACCCCCGAAATGGATGACAGCAGTCTGCAAAAACCCTGTGAAGCGATAGGACCCCCCAAAACGATTTTTTACTTAGTCGTTTACTTCTCATATGAAAAACAGTCAAAACCTAGGAAATGAAGGGGGTCCCTAATTCCTTTGTATCTCTTCTTATACCCTTTAATGACCTCAACCCCCCAATTCACTATTAGGTGGCCCCTTTTAAAAATAGTCTTCCCTTAAAAGTAGCCTTCTGGTTTTTCAAGCCTCTGAATTGATTTGTTTAATATTAGGGGGGACTAAGACATTTGGGGAAGGGATTATTTGGGTCCTTGGACCTTTAGTTTGTGAAGGGTACCATCCGACAACTCCCGGCTGCACGCAGAGGAACTTGTGTCTGCTGACCAGGGCCTCTTCAACCAGGGAGCCCAATACTTCCTATAGTCCCCTTAAGCAGATCGGGTTTAGAGTCCCCCTTAAGTAGATAGAATATGGGGTATATGGAGATCTTATTATAATATACCCAAAGCCATATTCTATCTACTTAACAGGGACTATAATTGACAGACTATATTCAAAGTGGGGAGAGTCAATTGGAAAACAACATGGAAACCGGGTTTATGGAAGGGTTTATATAGGGATCAAGAATCCGGTAAACCTAAAGCAAACAATCCGCATGCGAGGTTTTTTGTCTCCGTGGCCGTTGATCCAGCTGCCCTGGAGGAGCGCGTCCTGCCCACAATGTCCCCAAAGAGTGGGATTTTGGGTCTCGGGTTTTTGGTGTGCGGTTTGGGGTCCCCAAAGAGTCCACTTGCCTAACATATGGCGTTCAACAACAAGTTTTAGGGGAATACTGCCTCATGAACGGAAGAGAAAACGGAAAGTTGAGTAGAAACGGGTTTCTATAGCGGCTTTATAGTGATCGTAGGGTCCTGAATGCTTGACATCGTTTTGAGGTATGTTTGAGGTACCCTGGGCTACCCTTAATACAGTGAATATGGACCACAATAGTGGTTATTATACAGGCTTCAACAAAACATGTGGTTTTCAAAAATGGTGGCCCCTTCAATACTGGTCGTGCTGCGGTATATTCTTTACATTTAGAACCCTCATGTGGATATTTTTGGGGATGGACCCTACAGACTCTTTAAAGAGGTCCCTAGAATCATTTGAGCAATTCCCAAGTAGCCCTGAGCAACTCCTACATGGTATATATCTGGGCGCCAAGGTACCGATGCGGAAACTCTTGCGACCCCAGTATCGTACGACATAGGTAAACACGGAGGTTCCCAAAGTTATGGGTAACCTTTGGGGGTACAAAGAATATGGATCGTAGTATTTTGGGGTCTACATGGGGTTCGCTCTATTTAGGGAAACTACCACATAGGTACATGGGTCTACTGATTCTGAGATCCGGTTGTTGCTGTCCAGCCAGGTTGGAGTCAGGTGGGAGTAGGTGGTAGGATCGAGTATGCATCGGGGCACTGTAGGGAGTTGTTGGGGTTTAGGGTCTAGGGTTGATGGTTTAGGGGGTATTCTTCTGGGTCCCAACTAGTGGGACCTGCAACAGCTAACCTCGCCAGAGCCTCCACGACGGACAGCAGCAATCCCTCGGACAAGCAAGTCTATGTATAAGTTGCAGTATATACCGCATTATACTATAGTGGTTTCCATTTGTTTGGCTGCTGGTCATTGTATGTAAGGGCAGATCCCCGCTCAGAAGCTAACGGCGCACCAGGATATACACCCAAGCGCAACTGGTTCACGCTCATAATTTGACTAGAGGCACTCATACAGGAGCAGCCTAACATGCCAAGGCTTAAAACCCGTGGTCCGCGCCAAAGGGGATAAGGGGCCGCGACAGAGGTCTGTAACAGCGGGGGGCCCCCGGGATAAAGAGGTGTCGGCCCACAGCCATATGCCTAATTTTTGAGGGGGTCCGCATCAAGATAAGAGACTTCTTTGTGGGGAACTGCGGGGAACTGCAGGGGACTTGCTACCCAACCGGCGCAAGCCTAGACCTATCTGGACCCCAAAAGTCGTGTTGCTGAAGAAGCACCACCATAGCGCCGCTGTGGTTTGAGGCAGGGTCTTAGTATGCCTCTGGAATTGACAAAATACCATTAGGGCCAAGTGCCCAAATAATTGGGCTGTAGGTTCTGAACACCATTCAGATTATAGCATGTGGGAGTTAAGACACAGTTTTTTAGGTACGTAGACCATCTAGAACACCAATCTTGTACCACAATTGAAGGGTCTATCCTTGTTCGGGCCACGGAACGCATCAGACCTTAAATCCTAAACCTGTTTTAGGGTTCAGTTTCAAAGGGTTCGGGTTTACGAGGAGAGCAAAATCTTGATTTAGAGTTTATGGCC